ACTGCTGCTACATTCTGATTTAGAGCAGAACTGTTTGTTCCAGATGTGCTGAATTAATGCTGATTTATACTCAGAAACTACTGTAGGTCCTCTGCGTGTGTGTCGCAGTTAACACAGAGACGCCCCCGCCCCTTCCGCAGACACTCTGCTGCACCTCTCCAAAATTGTAGGTGACCGCAGACAGGAGGCTTCTGATTGGTCAAATCAGAAATCAAAAATATCTGCGACAAGCTCACTACGACACACTGCTGTGGGAGTATAACCAGCCCTTTAGGCTACGTTCACACTGCAGCCTGAAGTGACCCAAATCCGATTTTTTTGCCCACATGCGACCTGGATCTGATCTTTTCATGGCTGTCTGAACAACACAGATCTGTTTTTTTCCAATCCGACCAGGCCACTTGGCTATTTGGTCCTGGATCCGATACCAATCTGATCTTTTTAAATGCGACCTGTGTCTGAATGGCCAGTTTGCATTCATACGACCTGAACGCCATCAATACTCGGCATAGGTCACTATTCTGCTTCTTGCTAGGCAGAAGCGGCAAGAAAAAAAACCACCTGGTGGACGATGATGTGGAGAGCAGTATTTTTTTAACCATGTTAAAACGCAGGTTTAGAAAGATCGCTAGATGCGCTCCATCACTACATCCATGTTTACTTCCGTAAACAAGAAGTATGCCGGCTTGTGACGTCATTGCGTCCTCTACTGCGCATGTGGGAAACTTAAGCTGTATGAATGCAGTTCACACAGGAGATCACATACAAGTTGCATATATTGGAAATGTGAACGGAAGCGCAAAAAAATTGGATTTCACGAAAAAAAATTGAAATTAAGCATCAAAGCCTGCAGTATGAACATAGCCTTAGATTCATATGACAACAGCAAGGTACCTGATCGGAGGGACCACAGGGGTGGCCATGCCCCCTCCTCTAGATCCGCCCATGATCATAATTACCAAAAGTATTGGGTCTGTCACAGATTTACTTGTATTTTGAATGAGCTGCCAATATAAGGATGCCATAAAAGCCTAACTTGCTTGGTCTTCCACTGGTGCAACTCTACGGTCTCCATGACTCTGTTCTAAATGGGAACTGGCCCCCGCTGGCCCCTGCCTAGAACCGCCCATGTTATCTGTCCTTTAAATGTGTTGAACAGAATCTTTGTCCATCTGGATCTGGTTACCCTGATCCAAAAAAATAAAATAAAATAAAAACAAACAAACAAAACCATCCTGAATACACCACCAGGTATCCATTCCCCCCCACTGTTTCAGTTCTGTCTTACCATGAGCCGAGCTGCTCCTCTAACTTCCCTAGTCCCATCGGTCGCTGTGGAGTTGCTCTACTGCGGTATGTTCCTCAATAAAATCCGTGACATTACAGCCTGATCACATCAACCCAGCAGACTGAGGGCAGCCAAACACGGACAGGCAGGCTGTGGCAACATTAACATTCCTCCGCGTAAAGACCAGGCCTATCGGGGAGAAGGAGGGGAGGCATCGATAGGATCCCATTAGTTAAGTGCGCCCTTAGGATACCCGAAATTTGATCAGAGATAGTCCTCCTCCTTCCAGACACGATCCATTAAAGCTATCCTGCTCTGGAGCTGCTCCTCCTCCTTCTCCTCCACCTCCTCCTCGGTGGTCGAGGTTGTGCGGCAGGATCAGGATGAGCCCGGTGACGTCAACCTTTTGTTATCACCTTTAACACTTGCCTTTGCAGGTGCAAACACTTTATCCTCTGTGCGAGAAAAAGCTGCTATTTGCACAGATCCCCACATAACGAGAGAGGCAGGGAGAACAATTAGCCTGCGGTTTCCCAGGATCCAAGGGATCATCACCAGGAAAACACTTTTTAAAAGGATCAATGTAACAAAAAAATAACCTCAACTTTATTTCTATGGTTATTTTACGAAAACACCCTAAAACACATCAGAAGTGGAGTAAAAAACTACTTATATGTGTGAGAATCTTAATATGGCAGGCAGATGAATAATCCCCCAGCGGGGTTGGTGTCACATCACAGAATGGAACTAGCTAAAATAAAAAGCCCCCATAATAAGACCCTGGTTTGCTCTGTGAACGGTCAAATTAGGCTACCGTTAGAGAGAGTTACACCGCTGCTTGGGCGGGTAGGAAAACAGATAAGCTGGGATAAAACGGGGTCAGCAGAGAGCCGTAAAGCTCCCGGGTTGCCAGTCAGAGTGCCAGCTGACTGCCAGGGCTCCGGGCTAAGCTAGCCAGACAGTCTGAAACATACTCAGTCCCATTGTTGCCTTCCCAGCCTCCCCTCTCATTTACGCCTCGCTTTAGGAGGATGTCACAAGGTACCGAGCAGCGAACACGAGGGAAAAGATGCAGGCACTCACCCTCCGTTCACCTCGGGGAAAAGCATCATTTTAGACCGTGGCCATGATTTAAAACGGACAGGTTTTCTGCCGTCGCCCTGCGCTGGCCGAATCACTGCTGCTGCTGCTGTCTGCGGCACCAACTTCCGGCGCATGCGCAGAGAGCGCTGCCGTTCTAAACAGATCCGCGCGACAGACGGCTTAAAGGTACAGCCCGCATCTAACAGACCCGGGTTAAATCAGCCCGCATCTAACAGAC